CCTCCTTGCAAACCCCACTCCCTTCTAACACCAGTGATGTTGCCTAGTTTGGGCTTCACGCTACAAATTAGTCTCTTCTACTTGAATTCAGGAAAGGCATTTTCCTAGAGTTGCAAGCAGAAAAGATCAGGCATTCTCACACCCCTTCATCCTTTCCTTAATAACCAACACACACACACACGTCCTACGAGCATGACCTGCACAATTATCTTCCTTTTTAGGTGATTCCCAAACGGACCAACCGGCCAGGCATCAGCTCCACAGACAGAGGCTTTCCCAGGACTCGGTACCGAGGGCGAGGATCCGGCTACAGCAGTTCCAGGGCCCGTTTCTACAGTGGCTTCAGCAGCAGGCCGCCCCGAGGGCGTGCTTACAGGTCTGACCCTTAAAGTGATCCACAGGTTGGGGAAAAGGGTGTATGTGTGCATCAATTTACCATAAGTTCATGCTTGCAGACGGCTAGGTAGCAATCTCAGGCTTAAAACACCTGGCATCCCTTCATGGATCACGTGAAACAGGCCAGTGAAAGGGTTCCTACAAGCAGGGTGGGTTTGGTTTAAATCAACTCGACTGAGTTGATTTAAAGCAAGTGTCATCTCTGCCTTTAACCCACTGTAGACTCACCAACAGTCCCAGTATTGCAGAATATATACAGCCTTCTGCTACATAACTAAGCTCCATTTCATGCTGAATAAACTAAATTCAGAATGTATCCCAAACAGAAAACTCTTCAGATAGATTTTTTTTTATTCCAAAAGCATTTTATTAAAATAAATTAGATAAAAATAAAAAAAAAATCCAATTGATTTTTTTAAATCCTTTTTTAATCTTTTTAAAAACAATTTTTATCAAACCCTGCTTGCAGGCCAGGTTAGTTGATTTTGGGTAAAAAGAGTTCTCTTCACTGAAAGGGCTCCTGCAAGCCAGATTAGTAGATATGGGATAAAAAAAGAGAGAGTTTGAAAGCCGATTGAACAAAGATCCCGCCATCCGAGAATTTGTACATTTCTCTGAGCCTTGGCTGTTAAGAAAGCTCTAAAAAAATGCCAACATTTTCCAAACTATTGGCTTTCATATTGACAGGCACTCCTCAATGTGTGATTACAGTCAAGCCCAAAATTTATGTTGCTATGTGAGATGAGCGTTAAGTGAGTCCTGCCTCATTTGAGTCCCAAAATGTCTATTGCTAAACGAGACCTTTGTTAAGTGTTGCCCCATTTTACAACCTTTCTTGCCACAGTTATTAAGTGAATCACTGCAGTTGTAAAGTTAGTCGTACAGTTATTAAGTGAAACTGGCTTCCCCGTTGACTTTGCTCGTCTGAAGGTCGCAAAAGTGATCCCGTGGGACACTGACCCGGGCTTAGCAGAAACAAGAAACAAGACTCCTTGTCTAACTAACCCCTCTTTATTTAATTTATTTAGTGGCATTCACACACACAAAAGTCCCGTTAAGTGCAAGAACAGACCTTATCAGTCCTTGGATAGTTGCCAGGCCGAAAGAGCTTCCCCTGGAAAAGGAGCCTCCAAAGCGGAAGCAAATCTTCATAATAATAAGCGAACTAATTGTCTCCTGCACCCACCACTCCCCCTTTGCTTCTATTTATTCCCTAGGGAGGGGCCATTCAGCGTCCATGTGTGCCTTCCCTTCTGAGTTGGCCCCTGTTCCTTAATTGTTCTCCTCTCCTGACAGCTCTGCGCATACGCGCATCTGGAACAGGCTCCAGCTGTTCTTCTTCCCCACTGATCTCCACTCTGAAGGCAGCTGAGAAATGTCACACAGCCCTATCTCTGCTTCCGACACAGAGCATCCATCAGAGCCCTCCCCAGACTCCAGGACTGGCCCAACTTCCTTCCCCATCTCGTGGGCCACAACAGAATCTGTTGCCAAACATCTGAATTTTGATCAAGTGATCCTGGGGATGCTGCAGTGGTCAAAAGTGTGAAAAATGGTCCTAAATGGCTTTTTTCAGTGCTGCTGTAACTTTGAAGTGAACTGTTGTAAGTCGAGGATTACCCCTATTGTCAGGTTCAGGTAGTCCTCAACAACAGTTCATTTAACGACTTCAAAAGTTAAAATGGCACTGAAAAAAAGCCACTTAGGACAGTTCTCACACATCTGACCCTTTTTCATACTTACGACCATAGCAGCATCTCCATGGTCACACCATCAAAATTCAGACGCTTGGCAAATGACTCACGTTTACGAACATTGCAGCATCCTGGGGTCACACAATCTCGATCTTTTGATAAGTAGAATCCGTGGGGAAGTCGTCATTAAAACTTTGTTACTAGCTTAAGAACCGCAGCGATCCACTTAACAGCCGTGGCAAGAAAAGTCATAAAATGGGGCAACGCTCTCTTAACCAACATCTGACTTAACAACAGAAATTTTGGGCTCCCTTTGCAGCCGCTCGTCGAGGACTGCTTGGCTACCTGAGAAACATCCTTGGATCAATTTTTTCAGAAACCCGGGAGAGCCAAAACGCCCTGTTTTGACTTCATCGGGTTCTCGAATGGAAAGTCGAATAGTTTTAAAAAGTGTGGAAAAGCCACAGGGACGGAGATCGCCAAAATCGCTGAAGTCCTCAGTTTTTCACATTTGGGGGGAAAAAAAATAAACCCTTTTCTGTAGTTTTTAAAAGCTGCTTATTTTTATTTCATTTTTTTTAATGCGTTTTAGGAAAAACTACCTCTTTCATTAACCTGTTTCCTTCTTCTCTTCACAGGGGCCGGGCCCGAGCGACCTCATGGTATTCCCCTTACTAAAAACAAAACAAAAAAAAAAAAGTGGTTTTTTAGGAAGGAGGAAAAAAAAAAAAAGAAAAAAAAATGAAGATTGTTACCATGATGAAAAAAAAAAAAAAGATATATATTATATATATATATACATATATATATATACTGTTGGTGGGAGGAGGATGTTTTGTACGCTGTGCAGAGAAAAGAGGGTTGACCTATACCGGAGGGAGGGAAGAGAGAAAGAAAGAAAAAAAAGAAAGAAAAAAAAAATATTGTGGGACAGCCAAGCTGTTGTTCAAACAAACACCTGGTAGTATTGTTGAGTTTCCCTCTGCACCCTGCCTTCCCTTTTGCAGATTTGGGTGTGGGTGCGGGTGGGGGGTATTCTTCCTCTGTGTTTTTACGTGGGGGGGGGGGAAGAGAGAGCGCCATGCTGGGGGAGGGTGTCCCCATCCCCTATGAAATTCTGTGATTCTCTCGTTTCTCTCCCGCTGCAGCCTCGCTTCATTGTGTCTCCGTGCGTCTGTGCGTTTATTTCCCCGCTTGGTTCCCGTTGCCTTTTCGTTGCTTTGCCCTGCTCTCCTTCCCTTTCCTTTCCTTCCTCCAACCCAGACTAGCCAGGAAGAAGCTGGCATTCACGGCTTCGTCGATGCTTTTTTTTTTTTAATTTTCCAGACGCCCCTCGCCCGATCTATTGTTTCCACCCCTGGGGACATCCCGTTTCTGGCCGGAGGTTGCAAAAATCCCTGCCGCTTACTCTCCCGATTTACCCTTTCGCTCCAATCACGGAATTTTGTCCTGCACCCAAACACATCGTTCTCCAAAAAAATGAAAAGGAAAAAAAAAGGACTGATTCCTGTTTAAAAAAAAACGGGTTCCCTCCTTTCCTTCCTTCCTCCCGCCATATACAGGTCGTAGGCGTTCCCGCCACCCCTCGTTCTTCCTCCATGTGTGTGTCTCTTCTTGGGGTGGGGTTGTTATATGCCTTGTTTGAGTGTCTTTATCTTTACAGATTCCTTTATTTTTTAGCCTGAAGAAATACACACCGAAACCTGACGCTGTAGAGAACCAGGGGCCAGGGGGTGTGGGGTGAAAAAAACCACCAACCCAGAGGGTTTTTTTTTTGGGAAGGAGGTCGCTGGCTGTTAGGAATTGCCAGGATGACTTTTTTTTAAAAAAAAATATTAAAAAAGGGGGAGAGAAAAAAAAAAAAAGAGGGGAAAAAAATATTCCAAGGTTGAAGGGAGGATAAAACAGAGGAAGAAGCAGAGAATGTTAAAAGGGCGGGAAAAAAAAAATTAAAAAAAAAAAAATAAAGATGTTTTTGGAAGAAACCGGCGTGAGGTGTGGCTTTTGTTGGCCGATGCCAAAAGGTGGGGATGGGTGTGTGTGTGTGACTTAACATCTCTTTTAACGACAGTTTGAAGTTATAGTGGCACTTGGGGGGGGGGGCTATGCTGGCTGGCTGAATTCTGGGAGTTGAAGCCCACAAGTGTTAGTTGCCAAGTTTGGAGGACCTGCTCCGGTGGGTCCCTGTTGCCCGAGAGAAGAAAGACCCACCCACAGGTCCTTAAGAGAGTCGAGGCTGGCAACGGAAGGAACCTCGAACTCGGGATCAGGAATCTTCAGCCAAGGGCTCATTGCTCCCTTCCTTGCTCTTGGGAAGACCCAATTCCTTTCTCACACACCCCCACCCAGGAAAAAAACCTTCCCCAAAAGGACACCCCAAAGAGTGCAAGGCCCGAAATAACAGAACAAAGCTGGAAGGGACCTTGGAGGTCTTCTAGTCCAACCCCCTACTCAAGCAGGAGACCCTATACCATTTCACACAAATGGTTGTTCAATCTCCTCTTTAAAACCTCCAGTGTTGGAGCTCCCACAACTTCTGGTGGCCAGCAGTTCCACTGGTTAAATTGTTCTGTGAGGGTATTTCTCCTTAGTACTAAGTTTCTTGTTTCCTTGATTAGTTTCCATCCATTGTTTATTATCCTGCCATCTGGAGGTGGACCCCCCCCTTCTTTGGAGCAGCCTCCCAAATACTGAAATACTATGTCACCCCCAAATCCATCCTTTCTCTAGAATAGCCATACCCAATTCCTACAACTGTTCTTTGTAGTTTTAACCTCCGGTCCCCTGCATGCTTTCCAGAGTCTTAACATTTTTTTTTATATCTTGGCAACCAAAATCGGATGCAATATAATGTAGTCTTTATCTGGTACTGCTCTAACAGAAATTCCAAAGATCAGCCAGGGTTTTCCACATGGATTACATATTTCCTTTTATTGAGCTTATTAACAGTGTTTTATTTCCCTTTTAAGATTACAAAGCAGTCCAAAATTTTTTGAGCCTATTAGATTTGCATGTTTTAACTCCCAGGGGAGCAAAAGGGGTAGTGTTTGCACACGTGTGTGCGCGTCGGCCTGAGTGGTCCTTCCCTGGGTGTGATGCGGTGTCATTACTTCAGCCCTCATGTCTATTGATAGTAAAACCCGCTATTAATTCCACTTCCCCCCGCAAAATGATTTGCAGCCGATTAAAAAACGTACATATAGGAAGCTCTCGATTTACAAGTGGGTTTAGTGACCAAAGTTCCGACTAAGCGACATTTTCCTCACTTACGACTGTGACAGCCTCTCCATGGTCATGGTGATCAAAATTCACTATGAGCTTACTGACTCATAGTTACGACGGTTGCAGCGTCAAGGGGGAAGCCAGATTCACTGAACAGCCGTGTTACCGACTGAACCACTGTTTAATTAGGGCATCTGTTGAAACCCTGACACAGGATTCACTTAACCGTGGCGAGAAAGGTTGAAAAATGGGGCAGAACTCAGTGAACTCCCACTTAGCTGCAGACATTTGGTCATTAAGTCGAGGACTACCTGTATGTTCCAGGTTTGGTGGTGAGGCACCGACCGCTGAAGTCATCTCTGTGTATACAGTGAAGATTCCTAGTCCCATTTCTCTTTGCTGCGAGCTTAAACGAAGAATTTATCAGCCAAATGGGCTGATCAGACATTTTGGGAGCCCAGATCAAGCTCGCTGTCCGTCAAGAAAAGCAACGAAGAACATTGCTCTTCTGATCTAGCCGCCGATTTCTTTCGGGGAGGGAAGAAAAATTGTGCATTTGAAAATAAGTCTTTAAGATTAAGTCTTTGGGATTTGGTCACCTCTGGTCCAACGTCCCAACGTGAGCCCTTTGCAATAACTGTGTCATGGACACAATTAGATTAAAAACGAGATGAATGCATAGGTCAAGCCCTTGGATCCCGTCTTAGACATCAGTCCGCAGAACCCCCCCCGGGCCCTAATTCCCCTGTCTCACATTGGTAAAATGGAAATAAAAACAAACGGTCCCGCACCAAACCCAAATCGTCCCTTGAAGGAAAAAAAAAATCCGAGATGGAGAAAAACCGGAGATTCAGCCCGACCTCCTAGCATTTCGACACGCAGCCAGGGGTGGGATTCTACCGGTTCAGCCCGGTTTGGGTGAACCGGTTGTTACACCGGCTGAATCGCACCCCTGCACACAGCCCTTCACCAAGGAACTTTCAGCGCGTAAGCCCCCAAAATCTTTCTGTTGCTGAAAGCAGAAAGGGTATGAAAATTTTCTTCCAGAGAGAACATTTTCAAGATTTTTCTCTCTTTCTCCTTGAAAGTCCGTGGAGATTCGTCTGCCGGTTTGATTCGGCCTTAAATTTAAATTTTCAATTCGTCTCTGGAATAAAGCGGGTAGTGGGTACATCAAAAGTCTTGCTGCTTCCAAAGTCAGTGTTTCTTGACCAGAAGCACTTGAAGATGTACAGACTTCAACTCCAAGAATTCCCTGGTCATTTTCTGGAAAAAAAATGGTTGGACAATTGGCTTGCTTCACAATCGTGACGGTTCACTTAATGACCAGAGATTCTCTAAACCACCGTGGTGGTTCCCTTAACCATGATTTGCTTAATGAGCACTGCAAAAATGTCATAAAATCAAGTCAATCATGTGATGACTCATTTAATGACTGTCACAACTTACGACCATAATTCCAGGCTCCGTTATGGTTCCTAAGTCTATCCTTTTATGTCTATTATTTGATTTCTGTTATTTTCAAGGCAAGCCGCAGGACCCCCAAGGGCATATAATAACCGTGTTTCCCCGAAAATAAGACCTGGTCTTAATTTTTTAGCCTCCAAAAGAGGCGTTAGGTCTTATTTTCAGAGATGTATTTTCCATTTTCTCACCTCACGGTGGTGGCATTAATAGCCCCGCCCAGCAGGAGCCCGTGTGAACACTTCTTCTGCAGCTGCTTGCGTATGGCACCCGCCTGGCCTCAGTTTCGCTATCAGAGGCCTTTCGCTGTCAACCTGGGGCTCGTTTCTTGGTTGCAGAGGCCCTCACAAAGACCTCCGACAGCGAAATGGAGGCCTCTAATAGCAAAACGTGCAAGTGGCAAAGTTGGCTGGCAAGGTGAGACAAGTGTTGGGGCATGGGAGGCCCGGCTGTAACTGCCCTAAGGTAAGCTGGCGCAGGACAACCAGGGTCAACTGAGTGGGCAGGGTCTTAACTAGGGCTTCGTTTGGGGATAGGACTTACATTGGGTGCATGTGTAAAAATCACGCTAGGGCTTATTTTTTCGGATAGGTCTTATTTTCAGGGAAACATGGTATCTATCTTAATGAAGAAAAAAATGAAAATTAACATAATTACATTAATTATTAAGGAAGTGGGGGTGGGGGGGAACGCTACACAACTACCCTGAAGTTTGCAATGCAAATTTTTAAACAAGGCAACAGGCAGTTAAGAGTTGAAGTCTGCAGATCTTCAAGTGTCCGAAGTTGAGAAAGACTGTTTTAGCTAATTCTGGGGCAACTAGCTATGAATCCTAGTTTCCAATTTAGTCCGCCCGTTTAAATAAATGAGTTTTTGCCGCTGGTGCAGCCGAAATGATTCCTTTCGTGCAACATCCAAAGCAGAAAAAGCCCCCTCCTGCCCTCCCCCCCCTCCACCGGCCTTTGAGTTCGTTGGATGAGCCCACCCGTCGAGGCCAGAACCAAGCCCACCATGGCATCAGCTGGAGGGATTGGGGGTAGAGAGCAAGGGTACATCGTCTCGCCGTGTCACACTATCGGAGTCCCGGCCCCCGGTCTCGCCAGCCCGCCGGAGCAGCGAAGGCCTCCGATAAAGTTCTCCGTCATGCAGGCTTTCGGGCAAGGGTTTGCGTTTGGTCTCGGGCAACAAGAGCAGGCAAAGCAAGGCCAGGATGTTGAGGGAGGCAAGGACGATGTGTTCGAGGAAGGAGCCATGCTGTTCTCGTACCCGCAACAGCGGGGCGCTCAGCCCTCCAAGAGAGGCCAAAGCCAGCGTGATGCCGAGACCCTTCCCTCTGCGGAAGAAAATTGATTGGTTGGATTAGCAGGAGTCTCCAGTTTTCCGGTGGGAGGAAAGAATGCAGGAAGGAGGAAGAGAGGAAGGAAAGAAAGAGGGAGGGAGGAAGAAAGGACAAGTGATAGAAAAGAGGGAAGAGAAGAAAGGGAGGAAGGGAGGGAGGAAGACGGGAGGGAAGAAAAGGAAGGAAAAGAGGAAGGAAGAGGAAAAGAAGGAAGGAAGGAAAAGGTAAATAGGAAGGAAGGAAAGGAGATAAATAGGAAAAAAGGTAGGAAGAAGAAAGGAAAAGAGGAAGGAAGGAGACAAGGAAAAAAGAAGGGAGGGAGGAAAGAAAGAAAGAAAGAAAGAAAGAAAGAAAGAAAGAAAGAAAGAA